TATGCCTACTGAAATAGTGTAGATTGCACAAAAAAGTTACATATACTGAGTTTTCTGCGTGTAAATCAGAAATACAGTAAGCTGGTAGATCTCATTACACTTAGCGGCTACATCTAGACTGGCATGATTTTCCGCAAATGCTTTTAACGGAAAAGTTTTCCGTTAAAAGCATTTGCGGAAAAGAGCGTCTAGATTGGCACGGATGCTTTTCCGCAAAAGCACTTTTTGCGGAAAAGCGTCTGTGCCAATCTAGACGCGCTTTTCCACAAAAAAGCCCCGATTGCCATTTGCCCGAGGAGTTTTGCCCGAACGGGAGCAGCACAGTATTTCCGCAAGAAGCACTGATTTCTTACATGAGCTCGTCCGTGTTCTTGCGGAAATTCAAGCAGCCAGTGTAGACAGCTTCTGCAGCTTTTGCAGCCGCTTTTGCAGAAAAACTTGCCAGTCTAGATACAGCCAGCATGTTTATCTACAGATATATGAAGGTGACAGTAAACGAGGAGAAAAACAGGCACAGTGAACATTATATGATATTATTAATACTGAGCTCAGAATTTTGAAATAAGCATTTTATAGTGACAGAACAAAACCTGTATTACTCCATTGTTTTGTTTAGGATATGCTTTTGTGTTTATATGTTGGCTGGTGTTATTATTTATTGTTTGTATTGCTGTAGTGCCGTGAAGCCAGGCCCCCCATACCAGTTATTCCAGAATATATGGCCTGAATGGACTTATGCTGATGGAAAGCTGGCATAATAGCATGGGGCATCAGTCCCTGAGAATTTCAACTTCAATTCTACAATGGTCTGATTCAAAGCTACTGGAAAAATTCTCATCAGTTTCAAGGAGCTGAATCAGACCCATACTGGAGAAAATCTTTTAGTTGTGGTTTTTTTGGACTTTTAAAAAAAAATTCCTTTTGTTTATCCCCTTGGTCATCAAACACTGAGGCTTTGTCTATACTGCAGGGTTTTTGCGCAAGAAGGATTTTGCAGAAGAGATCTTCTGCAAAAACTTTTTGTGCAAAAAGTGCATCCACACCTCAAAAGTGCATCGCAAAAGCGATGTGCTTTTGCTCAAGAGGGTGTCCACACTGCATGGATGCTGTTGCACAAGAAAGCTCTGATGGCCATTAACAGACTGGCCATCAGAGCACCTGTGCTTTTTCTTTTGCAAAAGAAACCGCTGTGGAGCGCCCACACATGCTTTTTTGTGTAAGAGCTGTAGTGCAAAAAGGAGTTACTCCTCATGGGGAGAGGAATAACTCTACTGGCAAAAGCCCTCTGTCCTATTTACTGTAATTTTTTTTGGGTGCAAAACTGCGCTGGAGGTGTGGATGCTCCACCAGTTTTTGTGCAAAAACCTTGGGCTATGTCTAGACTGGCATGATTTTCTGCAAATGCTTTTAACGGAAAAGTTTTCCGTTAAAAGTAATTGTGGAAAAGAGCATCTAGATTGGCACAGATGCTTTTCCGCAAAAGCCAATCTAGACGCGCTTTTCTGCAAAAAAACCCCAATCGCCATTTTTGCGATTGGGGCTTTTTTTGTGCAAAACAAATCTAAGCTGTCTACACTGGTCCTTTTGCGCAAAAGCTTTGTGCAAAAGGGACTTTTGCCCGAATGGGAGCAGCATAGTATTTCCGCAAGAAGCGCTGATTTCAGACAGTAGGAAGTCAGTGTTCTTGCGGAAATTCAAGCGGCCAGTTTTGACAGCTGGCAAGTTTTTCCGCAAAAGCAGATGATTTTGCAGAAAAACTTGCCAGTCTAGACCCAGCCATGTAGTATAGACATAGTCTGAGGGCTGAAATATCTGTGTTCAATATTAGTTAGTAGAAACTTGGGAAGTGTCATCAGTTTTGCAAAACCAAATATATGAATGCATAATGGTAAATCCTTGATTGGAAGATTTTGAGTTGTGTGGATTTTTAAAGAGGTATCTTATTGTTTGAGTTACACAATCTACCTCTTGGCTTCTATCAGAAAATTTTAAATCACTCTATGTAAGTGGGTAAGCATGACTGCCATGTTATTCAATTACCACTGTGCCTCAGCTCCTCTATCCGTAAAATGGAGATATCATGGCTACATAGTACACTCTTGGCAGAGCAGGGAATCAAATCCTTGTCCCATGACTTTTATTCCTGTTTCAACCACTAGGCCTCAGAGAAGAACTGTCGTGTGACTTTTTAACAATGAAAAGCTTATTTCATGGGACACTCTTATCTTAACCAAGACACAACCGGTTAATCTGATATTTAGAAATGAAACCTCCAGTGTTGCATTTGTTTTGTGTTTTCTTAGGTTTTTTAATAATCAAACCAGATAAAATTACTAAAAGTGAAATTCACAGACAAGAAATACTTTAATTAAATATTGTGTAAAATGAACATTTTTATACAGTTAAATATCTGAAAAAATGTACAGATAAAACAATCTTATTGTAGGGTCTTTAACAGTAAAATCTACCATTCAGTGAAGCTTTCAGTTTGGAGACAATGAAGCAATGAGTGCATTGACTAATTAATCTAAAACACAAACAGACTGCATTTATGAAGAAACTTGCAAACTTACTTAACATGTACACATGACCTCCTGTTTAGATCAAAAACTTACTTATACAAAATAAAACTGAGGCAATTCAGTTCCAAAGTGACTTCTTAGGCTTTTCCACTTAGCTAAGCCTTATAAGTTATCACAAAATAAATGTGCAGTACATTTATCATTTGTGATATACCGTATCATTCTTTTAAATCCCTTTATAAACACTTTACTAAAATGTGCATTTTTTGTCCAGAAAGGGAAAAAAGTCCCTCCTTTTTGTTTTAAACTTAAATTCTGCTGCAATTTGCAAAGTGTTTTACAGTGCTGTATTTGCAAAGTATTTAGTGCAAAGAAAAAATAATCAGCTTTTCCTGATGTCTATGGATTTGGCACTAACAGGCACAATATATTAAGGAGGTCATTCCAGTTTAAAAATTACAGTCATTACTGTGGGTCTTACTAAAAAATTTGTCTGTTTGTAAAAAAATCATTTATGACTCTGATTTCATAAGAAATTTTTATTTCTTAAACAGTGCAGGGTTCAAAGTATGCAGAGTGCAGCAGAAAACAGA